TTAGTAAGTAGAAATTGTTTCTTTCTGTTTTCATTTGGATATGGATGCCAAAATCATATAATATCTCTTGATCTTTTGTTTTGCCACTGATATTTTGTAATTACTCCTTTTTGAAATCATTAAAAAAAATTGCAGTTCTAAGGAAAAGATAAGTTGAGATCAGTGTAAAAGAATGGGGAAAACTGTGAAAGGTTTTTCCTGGCTCTGTCACTAACACTTATGAAACATAAGAAACTGAAAAGGGCAGAACAGTACTTAAAAATATGCTTATATTAGTGTTGCTTCTATTCAGTAGACAGAATTATTTGTATAAATTCAGAAAAACAACTGTGTTGGTCAAAATTATTCTTGGTTGTGTTCCAAATAAAATATAAGAGACAAAGCACAACTTTTTAAAAAATAGTAGGATATAAAGTATTTTCTTTTCCCTGCTCACTTTATCTTTCACTTGTCTATACTCTTTGGGCTACCTTTCTACTTTCTCCTTTTGCTGCTGCTTCCTTCTTTATATTTTTATTTTATTTTTACCATATATCATAAAAAATTTAAAACAGCTTTCAAAACAAACAAGTAAGTGTTATGTGTGTTTTTTTTTCAGTTTTTTTCAGTTTTTTTTAATTTATATTTTTAGTTTTATATTCCCCATACAATTGCAACCCCCTGATTTTGACCCCAATCCCTCCTTTCCCTGCCCTCCCCCCAAAGTGTGTCTCTGGTTCATAGTTGTTTGTTGATTTTGATTTTTTTCTTTCTTATAGTTATTCTTTTTCCTGGTCCCTATTTAGGTTTTCTAGATTCCTGTAATGAGTAAGACCATCCGGTATTTTTCTTTTTCTTTCTGGCTTATTTCGCTGAGCATGATCCCTTCCAGCTCCATCCATGTTGCTGCAAATTGCATGTGCTTATCTTTTTTGAATGCTGAGTAATATTCCATTGTGTATATGTACCACATCTTCTTAATCAAGTCATCTATTTTTGGGCATCTGGGTTGTTTCCAAAGATTAGCTATTGTAAATTGTGCTGCTATAAACATAGGGGTGCAGGTGCTCTTTGGAATTAATGTTTCTGTGTCCTTTGGGTAAATACCTAAGAGTGGAATTGCTGAATCATATGGAAGCTCTAGCATTAGTAGGTTGAGGAATCTCCACACAGCTTTCCACAGTGGTTGGACCAGTTTGCAGTCCCACCAGCATTGCAGGAGAGTTCCTTTCTCTCCACATCCTCGCCAACATTTGTTGTTGCTAGTTTTTTTTAATATGTGCCATTGTCACTGGTATGAGTTGGTATCTCATTGTAGTTTTGATTTGCATTTCCCTGATTAGAAGTGATGTTGAACATTTTTTCATATGCCTGGTGGCCATTTGCATTTCCTCTTGGAGAAGTTTCTTTTTAGCTCTTCTGCCCATTTTTTGACTGGATTATTTTCTTTGTTGTTGTTGAGTCTCATCAGCTCTTTGTAGATTTTTGTGATCAGTCCTTTATCATTAGTGTTGTGTACAAAAATGTTCTCCCAGTCAGTGGGATTTCTCTTTGTTTTGGTTATTGTCTCTTTTGCTGTGCAGAAGCTCTTTAATTTGATGTAGTCCCAGCTCTTGATCTTTGCTTTCACTATCACTGCTTTGAGTGATGTGTCTGTAAAGATGTCTTTGAGGTGCATGTCATGTAGTGTTTCGCCTTCATTTCCTTCTATATATTTTATGGTTTCAGGTCTTATGTCTAGTTCTTTAATCCATTTTGAGTTGGTTTTTGTGCATGGTGTGAGGTAGTAGTCAAGCTTCATTCTTTTGCATGTAGCAACCCAGTTTTCCCAGCACCATTTATTGAACAAAATTTCTTTGCTCCAATGCATATTCTTTGCTCCTTTGTCAAAGATTAGTTGACCATAGATCTGTGGGTTTATTTCTCGGCTTTCTATTTGGTTCCATTGATCCATGTGTCTGTTCTGGTTCCACTACCATGCAGTTTTGATTATTATGGCTTTGTAGTATGTTACATGTGTTTTAAAAGCAGGTTTTGTTATCATTCAAAAGTGAAAGTAAAGTGAGCCAAAAGTGAGATAACAACATAAAGTGTGGAATGTAGTAGCTGCTAATTTTACTAAAGGAAAATCCTAGTTTTACTTTGAGATTTTTAGCATACACTATGGAAGAGGCATTGCTATTTGTATGTTCTCAATGTTTCTAGAGCAAGATTTCTCAACTTTGGCATTGTTAACATTTTAAGTAACATAATTCTGCAGTAAGGACTGCTCTGTGCCCAGTAAGATCTGTAGCAGCATTTATGGCTTCTACTCACCAAAAAGCAATGGCAAACTGACTACTCAGACTAGACAACTAAAGAAGTCTCCAGAAATTGCTGAAAGCAATTGGTTTAGAACAAAGACAACAAATTATAACACTTGAGACATTTCTAACTATTCCAGATATAACTTCTAACTATCTTAGCAATTTTAACTATTTTAGCAGTTTTGCATGGTAGAAGTTAAATATCTTTAAAGATAAAGCATTCATGCAAGTCCTAGCTAACTTACTTAACTAGATAAATCTTTGATTCTATAATATAATTGGAATCTGATTTTTTTAAATAATTTTTTTGTTTATTTTGCTTAGACTAGCATAAAAATACTTTCACATTGCCTGGATCTTAGTAAGTACTCAAATTATGATTAGATATAATTATTATTGGCAATATTATCTATAAATAATAAAAAATAGAACTTTATAGAGTAGAGAAATATATAATAAAACTGAAAACCAGATCTATCCATACTATTTTTCTATTACATTCTCTATTTTTTGAATTGTAGTCTGCTATGACTTGGAGTGAATCAGATCATGTTTCTACCATTCTCATATTTTGATTTTTTGATTCAGTAGTCCTTTTTATCCTTTGTTCTCTCTCACTACCACTAGGAGAGATTGCAACATGTTTTTAGAAAGCAAGGATTATTTCAGGAGTGTGGTAGAAAGATGTATGCTGGCACAGTTAGAGGTATACGTGACAGTCTTCAGACCAGCCTCTTTAAGTCACAGTGTGCTCATTCGGTAAGTACTTATTAGGCCTCTACTGTGGGCTGGGCATTACAAAATGAGGGGGACAGTCACAGAAAGAGTAGTAGCTGCCCTTTGTCACATACTCATTTAATCCTCCCCGGAATCATATGCCATGATTCTTTAAAAAGTTGCCATTTCAAAGATGAAGAAATCAAGACAAAGCTATATTAATGAATAAATTGCCTAATGTCACTCAAGTTTTTGTGGAGAAACCATAGTTACACTCTGAAAATCTGATAACTGAAACATAATTCTTCAATATTTTTTGAAAGGATCTTACTTTCTATTCATTTATTTACTTTTCTCACTTGTTATTTATGTATTTATATATTTATTATTTATCGTTCTTGATAGCTCTTAAGTTGGTAAGGATCTCATGAAAAAAAGGATCAGGGCCTCCCCGGTGGCGCAGCGGTTGAGCGCTGGGTTGCGAAGCTGCCCGCAGCCTCTGCGGCCCCGGTTCGATCCCCGGCTGCTCCCCGGCCACCAGAGGAGGGTCCCACATGGCGCGCAGACCTCTCCTGCCGCCCGCTGCTCCCCTCAGCAGTGTACTTCGGTCCTTCTGCCTGCTCTGCTCCCCGCTCTGGCTCTGGTGAATTCTCTCACCCTCCCGCGCTTCTGACTGTGCCCAGTGCTTGTATAAACAAAACAAAACAAACAAACAAACAAATAAATAAATAAAACATGCCTCTATTAAAAAAAAAATGTTATAAAAAAAATGTTTAAAAAAAAAAAAAAGAAAAAAAGGATATCAAAAACCTTAGGAAACTGCTTAGTGCATTGTGAATATGTATTTTTGTTACTCATTTTATTTTTTCCATGTTCATTAGACCGCTTTAATTTAATTCTTCTTTTTAAAATTATACTTTTATATGACATTTCTGCTCTTTGATCCATTTGGGAAGTCTTGATATTTGTATAGTCACAAAAATTTATTGCATTTCTTGGTGCTCCAAGTAATTTATGTGTCCTAAAATTAGAAACTTCTACCATGCAAATCTGTTATTTGTACTTTATTTTTATTATGAAATATTTTCTACATAAAAGTGTGTGCGTGTGTGTGTGTATACATACACACATATATATATACACACACACACTTTTATGTAGAAAATACACACACACATATATGTGAATTATAAAACACCACTATTTCAGGTCCTTTTTACATATGTTCTCATATTGCATGTATGAAAGAAGTAAAGAGTATTTTATAACAGCAAATCCAAAATATTGGTTCAGGTTTTGTTTTGATAATGTTCTCTAGTATAGAAGCAACTATGTATTTTAATGACCTAATTTTGACAATACCAGTGTACATTTAGGCAAACAGCTAAATTATACTAAATGTTTAAAATTTTAAGCTTCTATTGTGAAAACAAATTGCTCTTTGAAGTTTAATGTTAATGTTTTAAGAATGAGGACCACACACTCCTTATGCTTCTTACTCACTGACTGCTACTGCTACCTGCCTAATACTCATCTTTGGTTACTGTAAACCTGCAGCCAGAAAAGTATTTGAATTTTCCCCCTCTAGTACTTGCAAATCCAATTTTTATGTATAGTTAAGTGCTCTTAGCTTTTACTCTATCTACTATTGGAGCCTAGTTTCTAGCAGGCCTGTAGCTACGCCAGATCCGGCCTATGTAATGCTGTTTATAATGAGAAATCTAAACAGGGAATGGCAGTGAGGCATGGCAGGAATGTGTTTCCATTGGAGAAGTCAGTGTAGAGAAAAAGTATAAGCAAAGCCGTGTCCAGAAGGCCTTTTCAGCTGGCCAAGACGGAAGACTAATGTTATTGTACATAGGTTGTTACCCTGCCAGCCCTTCCTCACAGATTTGCTTTCTCTCTCTCTCTTCCCCTCTCCCCAACTACCCCCCCCATACTCCCTCTCTTTCTCTTTTCCCTCTCTCTTTCTGTGGGCTCTGCTGACTGTTTGCTCAGGTGGACAGTGACACCATTTGGAATGAGCTGCACTCGTCCGGTGCTGCACGCATGGCTGTTGGCTGTGTCATCGAGCTGGCTTCCAAAGTGGCCTCAGGAGAGCTGAAGGTGAGGTCTGGGTTGCATTAAGTGTGGGAAATTCAGAGAAGAAGCTAAAACAGAGCTGTTGTTGTTGGGGAATTGTGAGGCGTGTGGGGTGGTAATAAAAGGAGAGGGGTGGGGGGAGAGGGCAGGGAGATGGCCACTAAGGTGTGATTTAACTTGTCTGTAGGTAGGTAGTAGCTGATCCTGCTCCCAGGGCCTTCTCTCCTTGGGGAAACTTTGTGGTCAGGGCACTCTGGTGCATTTTTAAGAGCGTAGAAATGGTGAGTAAAGCTATGGTCCAGGTTAAAAATACCCTTAGTATATACATATCTGTCATGCCCTCCTGGGATTCTCTTTTGAAGCGATTTAAAAAATATGATTACTGAGAACTATATATAAGCTCAGAATACCACCCAGAGAGAGGGGTGAGGGGTGGAGAGAAAGGTAAATACCAGACGGGAAGGATTGGGAGGAAGAAGGAAATTGTTGATTAGAAGGGTAATGATCCAGAGTATGTTTTTCCACGAAAGAACTTCAAAAATGAGCTACACTTTATTGTTCTTTTCTTTTTATGGTTTCTTCTTTTCTACATCACATGAAAAGAACAATGTCCAAACCCCAGTGTTTCCCAGTCTAAACAATTTATAAAAGCCAGAAACCTGACAAACGTTGACATTTTATTTGGTATTTTAACAGTGCTATTTAAAGGTATGCCATGTGCATCTTGAATGCAGTTGCCCCAATAAACTTTGTCAGTGCTAACATGGCTTTTTAATGCACTAGTTCACACACTTCATAACGAAATCTGGGCAGTGACTGATTTGGTATTTTTAGCAATTGTGGGGCTCAAGGGAAATATATTGTGACCAACAACATGTGCACTGTGAGTTTTGTTAATCTAAAATAAAATCTAATTAGGATTATTTTTCTTTATGTCTAATGAATTTTTATTCAATTATACCTGACTGGACTGTTCCACTTGTGATTAAAATTTCAGGAGAGGAATGTGCACTTTACAATGCATTGTCTGCCCCAGAAATTATTCTCCAACTGTTTAAGAAGTCAGAGTCTATAGAGGTATAATTTTGACAAGATGAACTGTGTTAAAAAAAAAATATATATATATATATATATATATATATATATAGAGAGAGAGAGAGAGAGAGAGAGAACATGCACACACGCATGCAGTGATGGGAGTAGGCGGGCAGGGTGATGGTCACTGAGGTGTGATTTAACTCCTCTATAGGTAGGTACTAGCTGATTTGTATATATATATATGCATATACATATATATATATACAAATGTGTGTGTGCATGTGTGTGTGTATAGATAGATAAATATAGGCCTTATTTGCAGCTGGTACCATCAGCATCAGAACATAATTAGTGATTTCTGAGGTCATTAATAGGGTGATTTCCCCAAGTATTTATTTTTGTTTATGAGTTATTGAAGAGTAGAAAGGAATCAGCCTTATGGAAAGGTTTTGGTTGTTCCCCAGTAGCAATTTAGGAATAATTCTTCCTGTCTGAGTATGCTATATGTAGCACGAAAATAAATTGACATTTTAAAAGAATATTGGAGAGTCTTTTCAAAAATTGAAATAATAGGCAATAGGCTATAGTATTTTAATTTTTATATTATGTTGGCATAGATTGTTGGCTAACAATGAAAAATGATTATGTTAGCATTTGCAATTTCTAATTGTTTTGATTTTGTGGAAATTTAATCAACAAATCAGAAACCTTCTCAAGTAGAATGATTACATATATAATATACTTGTTAAAATTATTGCTTTAACCTCAGAGAGTACAGCAATGCCAAATATATATGAAGAGTGTTGAAAACGCACTCAGTAGTCATTTAATCCAGTCAATTACATACAAAGTGTCAGCAACATATAATATGGACATGTTACCTCCAGCTGTACTAACACTGGCTATCTTTGTTAAGAACAAAGGCTCATACAAATGCTTTTTCTTCCCTTAGTGATTAGAAAAGAAAAGAGCAATAATAATAATAGAAAAAAAGCCAGTCTAAGGATCAAGAAATCTTCTTTCAGGCTCTGCTACACTATCATTTGTGGCAAATCACTTAACTTCTCTCTGCTTTGGTTTACTGTTCAGCAAAATCAGCAAGGCAGAACTGATTTCACTGAAGATCCTCTGTGGCAATGCCTAGCTGAGCTATTTGTAAATGAAAAGTGGATCTGATTTTCAGTCATAAGTACTATGGCATATCAGTAGTAGATAGTCCAAAACTACTTACATTGCTGAATATAAAAGCTTTGCAACAGGTATATCTTTATGATTGTTAACCTAAAGTAAAAAGTCCAAGACAAGTAGAACCATAACAAAGGCACCAGACCAAGAGACATTAGCCCTTTGGTTGCTGATAATTTGAGGAGGCCTACAGGGATGCCATGGTAGAAGGGCAGTAGTTACAGATGACTCACAGCCCCAGACAAGAACTGAGATAGAGAGCTATATTAAGGACATCTAGCAGCCAAAAATTTTCCTCAGTGTCTAGCTGTCCTAGACTTCAATATGATAGGACTTTCATGTCTGTTGCCCAAGAACACAATTACTTATGGTTTGTAGATTGACTTCATTAGGTCTAGCAAGAAAATACAGAAGCTGATTGAAGGTATAAGTAATTCTTTGGTAAAAGATGTAAAAAGAGAAAATTTTAGTGTTTCATTTTTCATTTTCTGCATCTATATTCAGTTCTCAGATGTTCTAGCCCATTTTCCAAGTAAATCAATAACTTGAAATGGCATTGACATATTATAATACTGTATTTTGTTATACTGCACTAATTTTTCTTGGAAAGTAGAGATGAATTAAGAACTTTATTTCAACTAGGCTGGTCCTGGATGGAGTGCTGATGAGAGGTTTGGTAGAGCTAGGAGAGTTCACTGAAATTTTAGAGGTTGGGGGCCTGGGAGATAAACCATGTATGTACAGAAAAGAAAAATGTCAAAGACAAAATGTGATTATCTTGAATTTTTTGCTTGATTTAAATTTTCTAAATTTTAGAAAACAATACACTAACCAAAAGATCCAAAGGGACCAGGAAAAAGAATAACTATAAGAAAAAAAAAAATCAAAATCAACAAACAACTATGAACCAGAGACACTCTGTGGGGTGTGGGGGGCGAGGAAAGGAGGGATTTGGGTTAAAATAAGGGGGTTGCAATTGTATGGGGAATATAAAAATAAAATTAAAAAAAGAAAGAAAGAAAGAAGAAAGAAAGAAAGAAAGAAAGAAAGAAAGAAAGAAAGAAAGAAAGAAAGAAAGAGAGAAAGAGAGAAAGAAAGAAAGAAAAAAACTATCTTCAAGTGATAGTTTCAGAGTTTTCTTAACTTTAGTAATTGTATTGTGCAAATGCAAATGTTTTATATTTCCCAGGGAATCAGATAATTAAAGTATTTCCACTTCAAAAAAAAAAAGAAAATATGATTTCTAAAATCACCATATTATATTGTTTAAAATGTCTACTTTTCAACATAAATTTATGAGTCTTGCAAAGACTCAGATGTATAAATGAAGAGTAACAGGTAAAGGTAACCACATAAATAAATATAAACAATAAAAATGAATTTTTCTCCTCAGACATAAAAGACAACTGAATAAAACAAAAACTATAAATATGTCATGGACACATGGTGCATAAAAATAAATAAATGAATAAGTAAATAAATGTGAAGATATACAACCTATTTTTTACTATCCTAGAATTTTATTAACTTAGCTATAAACTTAGCATTACCTATATCATTCCTGACTTCTCTGAATAATTTGGCTGTAATTCTCAGTTTTTCATTATTTTAAATAAAAAAATTCATATATTATATATGTACATAAAAAATGTCAATTGCATGAAAATAGTGGCTCAAAGGAGAATACTGGGAATCATATTTTGTTTTCCCTATACAACCGCAAAGCAGAGTTTTCAGACACTATTAAAATCTGGGTCATAGCTAAAGTAAATTATTAAAATTAAGGTGTTAATTATAATTCACTGAGCATCTAGTAAGAAAACAATACAAAATATATTAAAAGAAATGACAAGAAAATTAAAATGGTACACTGGAGAATATTAATGTTTACTTTAAGAGAAGACAGTAGTGGAGGGCACATGTAGAACAAATGCCAAAGTCACTGTGCCAATTTCTAACCCTAACAATAGCACATAGAATACGTAATGTTCTTCATTCTTTTTTTTAAAAAGATTTATTTATTTATGCGTGCAAGAACTGGGGTACATGCCAGAGGTGCAGGGCGGGTGAGAGGATTCATCAGAGACAGCGGGAAACTGAACAGGCAGATTGACTGAAAATACACTGTTAAGGGGAGCAGCGGGCAGGACAAGAGAGGTCTGCTGCCTCATGTGGGTTGCTCCCTGGCCTGGTGGGGAATGAACTCTTAACTGCAGAGGTTGCAGATAGCTTCATGGTGCTGCGCTTAACCCCCTTGCGCCACCAGGGAGGCTCCTGTTCTTCATTCTTGATTATATTTGCCATTTTCAGATCTTTAATGTTTGCTAATCTGTGAATATACAATCTGTAATTATAAAATCTGTGCATATAAGTTGCCTCTTTATAATGAAATTGTTATTAGGTAGAGATAAATTAAAATTATTGTATCTTTCTTAAGCCTTTTTTTTTTAAACATATGTACTGATTTATTTATTTATACAAGCACTGGGCACAGTCAGAAGCGCGGGAGGGTGAGAGATTTCAGAGCGGGGAACAGAACAAGGAAATACACTGCTGAGGGGAGCAGCGGGCGGCAGGAGAGGTCTGCGTACCATGTGGGACCCTCCTCTGGTGGCCGGGGAGCAGCCAGGGATTGAACCGACGCTGCAGAGGCTGCGGGCAGCTTCGCAACCCAGCGTTCAACTGCTGCGCCACCGGGGAGGCCCATCTTAAGCCTTTTATTAATATTTTGTTAGTAATTACCTAATGTATGGTATTGTCCTCAAGTATATGTGGATGATATTAACATCATTACTGCTTTT